ACATAAGTTAATTAACTGATTGGAATTTTTATTATAAAAATAAATTGTATTATATTATTGTCAATAATAAAAAGCTATTAATTAACATATAAAAAATAATATTGTTATTAATAAAACATTAATCTAACTGATGCTATTAAAGTTTAAATTTTTAAAAATAAAAAATTTGTTATTTTTATAATTAAACAATACACTAAACAATCACGAAATTAGAACTATAAAAATAATTTAATACCTATTTATATATATATTGCATATTATATTTTCTCATAACATTAAATTAATTGAAAATTAATTGAAAACTATTGTATAGTATTGTTTATAATTCAATCATCACATTGGGTTATATATTGTTTTACTAAATAATACAAACCATTAATAAGTGAAAATTAAATATAAGTTATAATGTTTTTTAGACTTTATATCTAATGTACATAAAAATACATCAACTGTTTGAAAGTTTAAAAATGTTTTTTTTAATTAAATCTACTATTTTGTTGTTTGTTTGCTGTTATTGTGGAAACACATATTTTCACGATTCACTTAATAGCCCCAAAGGCTTCCCTATAAATATAATAGATATAACTTTTATTTATAAATAAAACATTTTTTATTATTATTTATATTAAGAGAGCGTACGTTTGTGTGTGAGAAAACATCATCAAAACTATCAAAATTTTAATAATAATAATAATAATAGATATTTTTAAATACTTATCTACTGGTTATAAATTATAAACAACTTTTAATGTTATATAAATTTTATATGTTTGTTTATAGTACATGTATTTTTTTGTTTGAAATATAATTTAGTTTTTTTTAAATATAAATATTTTTAATCCAAATACAAATATTACTACTACTACAACAACTATTATTATTATTATTATTATTATTATTAAAATAATAATAGGCATCAAAAATATTAAAAAAGAAAAAACATATTTAATAGCCATTCACTCATTCAATATGTTTTATGTTATACTAAAAATTAATGTATTATGACTTTTAAAATCACATAATATAAGCCTATTGGTTATATAGCATATAATTGATGTACTATTTTTAAATATACAGTATATATAGTTATAAATTGCATAATTATCAAATACACTGTTTTATATCATATCTGGTTATAATAATAATAAAAAACCGATAATAATATATTGATGTTATGATAGGTTGTAATGCCGGAGAAAATTGATCCCAATTTAATTATACAATTAAACACTTATTCAATAAAATAATAAAACAACAAAAATAATGAATATTTATGAAAGGGTTTAAATAGGAGAGAGAAAAAAAAGCAAAAATAATTTTTTTAAAGTGAAACACATGTATTATTGACTGATTTTCGTGGTATTAATGTATTACAGGATATATAGGATTTTGATTTTATTTTTGTTGTTGTAAACTAATAAATGAGTGAAATAAACGGTATTAGCATTTAAGTAAGTATTTCTTGCCGTTTTAAATACCTTATTATACTTATAAGTGTTTATTTTTATTAATACTGTATAAATAGTTGTATTTTAAGCCCATTTATATATATATATACAGGCTTTTTGTAGACAAACATAAAGTCACGCTATAGTTTGTAATTTAAATGAGTAAAACAAAATAATAATAATAATAATAATTTTATATGTGTTTTAATACTGTATTATATACTATAAATGATGGCTAAATTTTTGTGCAAATCGTCGAATATTTTAATAATGTATAATAAACGGTATAAAAACTTAAGGAAACGCATAACTAATTTATAATAAATAAAATAAAATACTTTATTTTTACAAATTTAATAAAATAAATACAATTTTAATTGTTTGTGTTATACATTTTAATTGAGAGACACAATATCCTTATTTTTTTTATCCATTTTATTATTTTACTGATGAGTTCGTACTATTTTTTTAAAAAAATAAATATTATTTATATTTATTTATTTATACAAATGTTATGCTATATGTTTGTCAGTTATATATGGCCTTCTAATAAGCCATAAAGCAATTAAACCATAAATAATTAATTTACATCAATTTAGGTATTGTTAACCTTATATTTTATATAAAAAATATATATATGATCTCATTAGATGTCCCATTAAATATAGTTTTATTGTTAAAAAAAAATAAAACATAGTCTAATTCATGATTAACACATATTGTTTATTAAATAAATGTAGATTTGATTATTTAATAAATTTTTGTTTAGGTTTTTTTTTGTATATTTAATATATTGTAGTATATATATAAAAAAAAGTAAAAACATTTTTGTATAATATATAATTAAAAAATATTTATATTAATATCAATTTATCAAATTACTTATACCTATTAAAACAATATTAGTATTCAATAGTAATTTATCAAAAAATAAATCTTAATAATTATTAATATGTATTATAATTTTATTTGTTTATAAATAAAATACGAAAGTTTAAATTATTAAATCTTTAGAAATTATTTTATTAATATAAGAAAAAAAACAAATTTTAATCATTACTATTAAACTAATAATAAATTTTGAAATAATATCCTATTGTTAGTATTGTATGAAATTATTTTCATAACAATAATGATAATAAAAATTAGTTAAATACTTAAACATTTCTAACATTACTATCAATAAAGATATTTATGTATATATGATATAAAAAGATTAAAAACGATAGACACCAACATAAATAAAAAAAAATTGTTTACTATTATTATACAAACTATTTGACAGACAAAAAACTTTTTTTCTGAAAAAAATATTTACAAATAAAACATTGAAAAAGATAACAAATCTCTATAGAAATCATAAATTATTTGATATTTTAAAGATAAGATACACAAAGTCATGAAAAGATAGTCATAATTCACTAAAACATTTGTATTAAATATAGTTAAATAAGAAAAAAACAAATGTTTATTTGTGAGCAAATAATCTTAAGATTTATATAACATTTTTACTTTTTTTAACTACAGATGTTTAATAGTTTGGTTGCGTTTTATATATAATTTATTAAATATTGTACTTTATTTAGAGTTTGTATTTATATATTAAGTATTTTTTGCGAAATGAGTTTAACCATTATTAAGATATTAATAGTAATAATTTTTATTGTGATTTATTGCCATTTTCTACAATTAAATTATTATAAATAATATTATTGTTTTTTACTTGTGTTATATAATAGACTCTCACTCTGATTTTTAATAGATAATAATAATTATGTTTAAATATTTCAAACTTTTATTTTTTTATTTTTTATTTTTGTTTTTTCATACAAAAATTTTATATCATAATAATTAAGAAAATTATACTCTTATAGAGTTAAATACGAGTTATATAAGTATACATAAATCACTATAATATACTATAAAACAGTATAAAATACTATATATATATAAGCAATGTAAAAGTTTTGTGATTTAATTTTTTTTCATATAATAAATTATTTTTAGCTAATAATAATTTTTCCGTGTATTCATAGCGCATAACATTTGTGTATTAGTTAGTCATTGCATTAGGAAAATATATGTATAATATTATATTATTTACAGTATGTTAACAATCGTGACATTTATGTTAACAAAAATCATAGTTTTTATGCATATACTATATGATTATTATTTTTCATTTTTAAACATTATGTTTTGATGTGATTATAATATGTATAAATACTTTTTTAATAATTTAATAGCTTATATATATATATATATATATATATATGATTTCTGGTTAAAATTAAAAATAAAAATATAAGGAAAAGTTAAAAGAATTAATATAAAAAATTTTATTTGTTTTTACATTTCATACATACAAACAAAGACACACTTATATTGTAAAATATAGAGAAATAAAAACTTTATATATAAATTAATTTCTTAATTTTTATAGTGCTATATGAATAAAATATATATTGTATTTATTTTCTATTTCAATAATAAATAATTTATGTATTTTTTTCACTAATCTTAATTGCCATTCATCACATGATTTTTTAAATACACAAATAGATAGTATACAATATATTTTACATAATAATATTTTGCATAATATTTAAATCAATTGCAAAACATACACACATATATATATATATATATATAACTAAATATAATTTTTTTTAAAAATAAAATATTTAAAATAATTTTACAAATGATGTGATAGATAAATGTAAATCACAAACAAGACATTTGACTAATTTATGTTTATTTGATAATCACATTCACTGTTAATGCAATGAGAAATATATATAAAAATAATAATTTCTATTTTTATATGACTTTAATACTTTGTATGAAATTTATTCAGCAATTATTTCAATCTAATTCATGTCCGCATTTATCATAATTATAGTCCATATAATTATTATTAAATATTTTAATTTGCAATTTAATGAATGAAATGAATTTTGTTTTGTTTTGTTGTGAAAACAAAACAAAAGTCTCTTATGAAAAGCAATATTATATAAATTAATATAAAGTATATTTAAAAATGTATTATTTTGTTATTTTTTAAAAGATATACTTAAATATATATTTAAATTAGTTTTTAACTTAGTTAAAACAATGTTTAATAATAGTATTCATAAATACAATTAAATAATAAAAAACAACAATAGTTTTCATAATCATATAAAACATTATTCAAAGTTTATTCATCAAATGTATCTCAAAAAAATAGTTCATATTAAAAATGTTTATACATTATATAAATGAGTTAATAATTATATAACAATATTATAAGACAAATAATAATTATAATAATAATAATAAAATAATAATAAAATAATAATAATAATAATAAAACAATTAAAAAATAGACTAAATAGAAAAAAGTGACAGAAAAATGGATGATTATATTAAAATAATAATAATATATAAAATAATAATAATTATTATTATTATCAGTATTTTTATGACAATCACTTTAAAAGCATTTTCTCAAATATTTTCTGTTTGACTTTGAATTGTTGTGAAAAAATACATTTAGTTTTGGGACACAAAAAATATTTTTATTCAATTTATGGCCTAACCTTATGGTCTAATGTTGGAAACGGCATATTCATCGGCAGCCATCTGCAGGTCGTCCACATCAGTGTTCTGTACTTTAGCTGATTGTTGATAATTGTTGGTCAGTATATAGGTTTTCATTGGTTGAGAGGCCAGTGGTCTGACAATACTACCAGTGCCTGCAATGTTAGAGCTCTGCGGTGATGACTGGGATAAACCGGATGACAACGGTATAAATGTTGGTCCGGCGGCTGATAACGGAGCCGACAAATACTCATCGGCCGCATCGCTATCGGCAAAAAATGATTTGGTTGCCAGTGGTTGGGCACCGGTATTATAATCAAAATCAATTGCTACCGGTTTATTTGATTGGCTAACTTTGGCGAACAACGGTAACTGTCCACTGATCAATGGTTCAATTTTCGAGAATCCACGAGTGGACAGATATTTATCGTTGACAGCGCTCTGAGCCGTATTCAAGGTCTGAGCTGTTAGGGGCTGATTGTTGAAAGTGATTGGATTAAACAAAGACTCTGGTAGTCGTGAGGAGGACGAGGAGGAAGAGGATGAATGAGATATAGGTTCTGATGATTGTGAGTATGTATATTGTGGTGCAGTTTGTGACAAAAACAGTTGGTTTGATGATGTCGGTGAAGTGGCCAATGATGATGACGAGGAGGACTTGTATGTTGTGCTGAAACCGGGTACAGTCTTTTTAGTGAATGCATTATCTCCCGAATTACCGGATGATGTCTGGAAATACTGATTTGTCGGCGTCTTAGAGTTGGTAGCCTTTGCTCCGGTATCCTTAGCGCCAGTAAGTCCTCCGATATTAATCGGATGTCTTTCCTTACTCGTTGCCATCAAGTTTTTCAAAGTATTGATCAGTTGTTTATCGTACGGGTCTTTTGCATAACCGGCCAACGGGTCATTATTGTCGAGATTTGCGTCCTGTTCTTCCACTTCGCCATTAGACTTGTGGATAACGTCACCCAAATATACCGATTTATGATTGACCACCGGTTCTGTGTTATAGGAAACCGATTGTTGGTCTTTTAGCGGCGGGAAAAAGTGACTGATTGGTGGTGACGGCACTGTACTCTTTGCCTCAGTATTGCTAAAGTCGGTCCATTTGAATGGCAATGGCTTAGCACTGGTAGTTTCATAAGTTTCCTCATTAGTGTTTTTATTATAGTTAAAATTATTGTTAAAGTTGTTGTTAAAGTTATTGTCATTATTATTATTATCGTTATTATTATCATTATTATTGCTATTATATGTTTCAAGTGGTGGTGATTGAATAGCGCTATGCGATTGTGGATCAGACATATCTTTTAGATAACGGGCCGGTATTTTTGATGCACCCGACGATGATGGCGATGACGACGCCGACGATTCATCTACCTGTGTGTTAGCATTATAGACATGTTTGACAATTGTTGGCACTTTTATCGTTTGCTTTAATGGTTGTGGTGTCGGCAATGATTCACTATTATAATCATAATCCTTGTCCACTGTACCGCCTATTATTGGCTGAGGAACCGGTAGTCTATCTAAATTTCCATTATTATTATTATTATTATTGTTAAAGTTTTCATCATTGAATCGATTATTATTTGTATTATAATTGTTGAGTTGATTTCTAGTATTTCTTTCGTTATTAATAAGTTGATGAAACCTATCCTCACCATTATTATTATTATTATTCCAGTTGTTTACATCCCTGTCCTTATTATTAAAATACTGTATTGGTCTAATAGATTTCTTATTAAAGTTATTATGTTTTTTATTATAGCCACCAAAGTCCAGCTTTGGTGCCGGTATTACTTTGAGTCCATGGGTTGGATACATAGGTTTGGGTGAATAGTCCTAAAAATTATTGTTATTTTTTAAAATTTTATTTTATATTATTTACTACATTTACATAGCGTTTACTAATTTATCAAAAAAAAAAACAAACAAATAATTAATTAATTACTTTTTTATGTGAATCCCTATCAAAGCGAAACGCGCGTCCATCTTATGAAAACAATATTACAATTAATGTATTCATAATAACATAATGTTTTTGTTTGTTTGTTTTAAATACAAAAAAAATAGTTAATTCATTCATAAATAGTTTTAAATACAAAAGATATGCAAATAATAATATTTTTTTAAAATTTATAAAATTATTAAAGTATTTACTTATCCATCCTTTCTTTTCAAACTTAATTTTGCCGCCTTTAAGATCCTTAGCCCGGATTAACAGTATAGGTATCCTAAGCGGTGCGTCGCCCTTACGATTAGGGTTGGGCCCCATATGCAGCTTATTGAATGGTATGGCACCGTTGATGGCAGCCGTGGCTATCGCTGCCACGATATCATCCATCGGAAAGTTTGACTAATAAAATTCAAAATTGTTTGAAAAAATAAATGTTTTGAGTCTAAAATTTATAATAAACTCAATGAGCTTATAATAAACTTTTTTCAATATTTAAATATGTAATATTATGTATTGAAGAAATTCAAAAATTTTTAACATTTTATTTTATCTAAAATTAAAAAAAAATACTTTTTACAATATTAATTTTTGTTTTATAATAATTTAATATCAAATATTACAGTATGTTATAAGTTATACAGTATTATTGTAAAAGCTATTTATAAACACTTAAATTTCTATGCATGTGTTTAATAACATACTGTATATTACATATATTTAAAGTTTATATGTTTTTATGAACAAAAAAATATTGTCTTTTTTTTATTTTATATACACTTTTACAATCATATTATTTTGATGTGTTTACTATTCACTCAACTTTTTTATTTATTTCATTATTTTTCTTATTATTAAAATCACAATTTTATCAAAAGATTTTTATTTGTGATTGTATTTCAGTGGTTTTGATTATTCATAGCAAACATACAAATATATAAATATATTTATGTAAAAAGTGATCACAAAATTGCATTCAATTTCCTATTATTATTATTGTTGTTATAAAAATTTAAAAATATTTTATAGTTTATACAATAAATACAATATAATTATAGATTTTTTCATAGAAAGTCAAATATTTATTAGATTTCTAGAAAAAATATTTTTATAAAATTTGTTGTCTCTATTATTTTCATTTATTTTTTATTACATTTATTTGTATAAAATTGTTGTTTTTTTTATCGAAAATCAATATGTTTTAAAATAATCAAAATGTTTATATTGTTGATAATATTTGTTTTTTAATATTTTTATAAATAAATGTTTATTTATATAAGTTTATAAATTATAATATTTATAATTTTTTAAAATAAAATTTTTAGATATTAAAATTTTATATAATTGAATAAAAATGCAATCATTGAATATAAACAAATAATTAATTACTTTAAATTTTAAAAACTATTTAATTATTATTTAGTTTTTTTAGTTTTGCTAAACTCAATAAAAAATAAATATAACTATATTATAATATATTTATTTAATTATTTTTTAAACAATAAATGAAATATTAACAATAAAAACTATTTTATATTATTTGAAATATCTGTTTATAACTTGAGCAAAATAATGTGAATTTTTATATAAACTTTTATAATAATATATTTTTTTAATCATATAATGTACAAATATACTTTAATACTAAAATATACTAATAAAATGATATCTATATAACTATTTTATTGTTTTTTTAATTAGAATCTAGTTTTATTTTAATATACAAATTACAGGTATATTATTAAATAACTATAATTATTAATTAGTGTATAAACATTATATTACATATTATAATATACAAATCTAACTTTTATAAATATGAAATATACAAATTTTATATATCAATCAAATAATGTTAATAAATATAACAATTTTTATATACACTTATTTTATAGTTTAGTGCTCCATATAATTTATATATATACACTTTTATATATAGTATATTGATGTATAGATCATGGCTTATATTTTTATTGATTATTGTTATTATTTAATAATAAAGTAATAATAATAATAATAAATTTATATTATAGTTATACTCCTCTTATGTTTAGCTTAAGGCTTATAAAAATTATTGTTATAATAAGAAAAATATATAGTTTTTAATTTTATATATCATGTTTTCGATATACTTTTTATAAAAATCTTTTAATACAATTTCATGACTATTGACTTTCAAGATATTGCAAAAATAAATTGTTTGTTTCTATTAATAAAGTAATATATTTTCGTTTTTATTTCCCTTTTATTTTTCACTTTATAATACTTTGTATTTCTAATAAACCTATAATCTGATAGAAACATGAAATTAATTATATATATAGTTTAACATAAATTTTATTATTTTTAATTATAAGTCAATTAATAAACTATTTTATTATCTCATAAAATTAATTTAATAACTTTATACTACTACTAATAATAATAAATTAGTTTGTATAATTTATATTGTTTTTATCTATTTGTCAATTATTAACAATAATAAAAATGAAATAATAAATTATACTAAAATTATTTTTTTAGTAGTGTCAAATTTAATTAATAAAAATAAAAAATAAAAACATTTCACACTATTATTATTGAATACATTAGTTTTAATTGATTATTTATTTTTTTTATTTACTATAATAATGCAAACTTTTTGTATATTATTAAAATAAAATAAATATTGTTTCAGCACCCGGATATAAAAATGGTAATTAAAACTATTTTAAAATCATTATTATTAATATGATCAACAATTTAATAGTTTTAAATTTAATTATAAAAATAGACAATTAATGTATATCATTAGAGATAATTTAGCATTAATAATAAATACAATAAATTAGCGATAAAAAAAATAAAATAGAAAAATTCAAAATACAACATAATTAACACCAAAACTAAAAAATAAAAATAAAGACAGATTTTTCTTTTAAAAAATAAAATCTTATAATAAACACTACATATGTATTACACGGGGAACAGGATGTATGAGTCTGTGGTTAGCCCGCTATTATGCAATCAGCTATTGTTATGTATGGAGTGTATAACAGTATATATATATATATATAATTTTGTGAGACATCTTTCTAACTGTAGGGAGAAATTAGTTCATTCACACTGTGATAATAAAAATTATATTTACACTAAATATACAGTATATATATCTATTGATGTTTTTTTCTTCTTAAAGCTACCTAAGCTAAAAAACAAGATTTATATACTGTATATACACTATAATACTGTACATAGTTTATGTTTGTGTGTGGTTTCCACTATTCATCAATTATTATTTATTATATAAAAAAAATATTTTTCATTCAAAATTTGTCTTCATCTTAATAAATGTATGTATGTATGTGTGTGTGTGTGTGTGTGTGTGTGTGTGTGTGTGTGTGTGTGTGTGTGTGTGTGTGTGTGTGTGTGTGTGTGTGTGTGTGTGTGTGTGTGTGTGTGGATATGTATTTGTATATATTACACCATAACTTGCAAGTATTTCATTAATAATAAAATTGTATATATTTTTATCATTAAAATAATTTTTTTTGTTGCTTAACAAAAGCACTAAAAATATATTATTGAGTCAAAACTCATTATTTTTTATGAATGTAATACACATAACATTTAAATGACAATTAAATAAAAGTAGTAGTATTAATACAGTACACACTGGATAATGTATTTATATTCATTAATAAAATGATAACAAAATTAATAGTTTTTTATATAATATATACAGTACAGTATGTTTTTAAAATGAGAAAAAATCAATGAATATATAACAAATTTTGTATTGTTTAAAACTATGTTAAAAATGTTATATTTTTATGTTTAATTCAAAAAAATATTATATTTTTTTATAAAAATAAAAAATAACATTAACCCGATTATAGTAAACTAACTAATTGGGTAATATATGATTTGATTGTCACGTTAAATGTAAAAATATAAAGTTATATTTAAAACATTGCCATGATTTTTTTTATTAAATAAATGATATAAAATATTAAATACATGAATAAAATATTATAAATACATATATTAATATTTATACATTGTAATACATTATAATAATTTATAGTAAAATAAATCATTTTATTTTTATTATTGTTTAATGTCATTAAATCAGTTCAAAGACATTAAACAGTAAAAAAATTTAAAATAAAGATTTATTTCAAAATTTGTTATTAAATGTTATCTTAATACTCTATAATTATATTAATAAGTTTGAAATATTTTATCAATAAGTAGTAAATCATATATTATTAAATAATAAATTGTCATTGAAATACTATTTTGAAAATAAAATTATAACAAAAAATAAATTTTATTTATTATTTTTAATTTTAATTTGTTTGTAACAGTATATTTAAACTAAGCCACATGTTTATATAATCGACATAAATAAATGAGTATATCATAATGTTTTAATTAAATTATAAAATCAAATTAATTTATCGATTAAATCTTAATGATAAAACTATTATAATATATTTATCTAATGCCCCTAATTGTTAGTTTCAATTTTTTTTAATTAATATTTTGTTTATCTAAGCGTTACCTTTATAATTATATGTTGATTTATATCATATTAAGTGTAATATCAACAAATAGTTAAATAAATAAATAATTAAATAATCAATTATTTTATGACTTTATTAGTGTGATCAATTAGATTTGATATTTTTAGTTATATTGTTTATACATTTAAATAAATACAAAATTAATTGTATTTTAAAGCAATCAATTGTAAATATAATAAACTGTATATTAAATGCAATAAAACTAACAAAATAGTTTTTTTGTGATAAAACCAGTATAAAAAAGTAAAAAAGTAAAAAAAGGTATATTTAACACAAAATCTTTACGAAATATCAAAACTTTTACATATCTTTTCTCAATCAAAGTATTATAAAATTTAAATTATTTTATATATTATGTTAAATACAGTACGTAATACATTAAAGTTATTTTTGGGTTACTATATCTATTATATATTGAATTGTTTTATATATTACTAAAAGTTATATACATTACTTGTCGATAATATAGATATCATAAAACTTATCGATGCCTACATATATAAAATATTATATACAATAAAACATATATAAGATATCGTTTAAGTTATATATTTATACTTGTATTATACACTGAATTTTATTAAAGTTATAGTATTCAATCAACACATTTTCCTAACTTTTTATTTATAATGTATTTTGAAATTAATTTGATCAAATTCATTGATTTGACTGACAGATAAAATTTTGAAAAAAAAATAATTTTATCATCACTTTGTTTAACAAATTTGAGTATCAATTGCATTCAAATATTGCATTAGATTATTAAACATGTATAAACCAGTAATACTAAATACATATGAATTTATTTATTTATTTTTATACTTATCAGATATTAATACACAAAAAAAATATAATTTATCAATCTATTGGTCAATAAATTAATTTATTAATCTGCTTTTTATCACCTTATTTGGTCAATTAGTTTTTTATATAATTTGATTTATTGTATGTTTAAAAATAAATTTTATTTTACTAACTTTATGTATGTCTGAAGTGACATCAATTTCAATCGACATAATAATAAAAAATATATATATAAGCAATAAAAACATCTAAAAGTACAGCTGTTTTGTTTAGTATTTTAAAATTCATTTTTTGTTTGTTTGAACATTTAATATCTCATTAAATTAATGTATTAGTTAATGATATGATTAAGTTTTTAAAAACATGTATTAATTACTAATATAATATTTTTACATTTTTTTAAAAAATTTACCAATATATTACTAATTAAAATAATAGTCTTATATAATAATAATTTTTATATTAAAATTATTTTGTATAAAATATAACATAATTAGTGCTATTTATACATTTAAAAAGATAACAATAAATTTATGCAAAAATTGTTTTGATTTTTATTTTTTTTGTTATTTAGTGTATGTCTGTGTTAGTTATTTTATAAGTTCATGTAATATGAATTTAAGGAGAAACCATAAAAAGTAAATTTTTTATTTATTAAAATAATTTTTCATAAAGTAAAAAAAAATTAAAACATATTTTTAAAATCTAATATAAATAAGTACTGAAAACAACAGTTGACCGCAAGTATTAACATATAATGCAATATTATATTAATTTATTTTGAGAAATCTCATTATAATATAGTTAAGCGAATAAAAAATATAAAACATGTGTTTTTAATAATATTATTATATTGTACTGAATATACTATATATACTTTTATGAATAAAAATATTTTTTAATACAATAATAATTCATTTTTATTATGCTATATAGTTAAGTACTATTTTTAAAGTAAAAATTTATTTATTTTGAATTTTGAATATAATAAGATTTTTAATTATTTTATATTTTAAATTTGGAGTAATACATGAAGTTATTTTAATAACGTTATATACAATATTATTTTTGTCATATATATATATATATATAAATACAATGTTTATAATACTGTATATTTGAAATATAACAACAAAAACTTTAGATATGACAACAATTAAGATATTTCACCTAAATTTGATCTAAAATTGATATTAGTTGTAATAAACAACAAACATTTTATGTTTTTATTTAAATCATTGATAGATAAAAATATAAGTATTCATCAATATAAAAAAGTTATAAAAAAATATATAATAATAAAACCGTTAATAATATTGTTATTAATGACTTACCCCACGATTGGACCGGTATTGTTGTGATGGTTGTGATTTAATAGCGGACACATATATCAGTAATAGTGATAACACTAGGGGTTCACAATAGAAATATTAAAGATACATATATATGAAAAACAAAAATTATAAAAATATACATTGTATTTAATATAAAATTTAAAAAATAAACAAAATTTCTATTGTATAAAGTGGTAATGCATTGAACAATAAAAATCAAATTATCAAAACTATATAAATTTAATACAACAACAATATATTTAATATAGTTTCACATTAATAGTTTAAAGCAACAGGGAAATAAATTTTTATAAATAAAATTATTAAGGAGTCGTCAAAAGTCTCACCTAAATTAATGATTTTTATTGAGAAATTCATGGTTTTATATATATATATTGTAACAAATATTACTAATTTTGTTATAATATTAAATTATTATTATTATAAAATATTATTATTATATTAGAAATAATAATAACTTTTTTTTGGCAATCACTTTTTATTATTAAATAAATTAAAAACACTTTTTATTAAACAAACTGTTTAAATTCATTTCAATAAAATAGTTTATTTTCTGAAAACTTTTTTATTATTATTATTGAATAAAAAAATAAAATAAAAACAAAATAAACACAAAGTTTTCAATACAATTCAACGTTTGATTACTAAATAAACACTATAAGCAGTTATTATATGATTTTTATTTGACATCTTTTATCTATCAGTGAACTCATTTAGAAAAGCAATACTACTAAAAAAAAGCTACCTGTCCCGACACATACACACTCTTACATCATATTATAGAGACAAATAGAGACAGTGGGCACAGGCTATCAATTGTAGCCAACATTTGTTGTAAACTCTCGTTTGATGCTTATAGAGAGGAATTGTATTATAAGTCTACCAAAAACCACACACACTGTTATATATGTACTCACACTCAGGCATACAGTAAACACAGAGATGTAGACTCAAGTGAAATGACTTATGAATGAAGTTTCGCGAACTCTATATCCTATGGAAAGCCAGTTATGTTGTGTTTCCTATTATTATCATATATAAAGAAAGAAAGAGAGAGAGAGAGAGAGAGAGAGAGAGAGAGAGAGAGAGCACAAAGAAGATATGGGAACTGTATTTAGGTTTTAAGGGCCAACACAGCTCTCACTTAAGTGACGGTCTGTAGTAAAACAACTTTTTTTCTGGTTATATAATATGAGTATAAAGGCATATATGATCTGCAATTCCCTCTCAATGTATAACTTATTATATAATGATAATAGAGAGCCTTTTTGGTCGACTATTTTTGTTAGTACAGTATATAACACATTACATAAGCATAGAGTACGCTAAAAATAATACTTTAAACTATATATTAACTGAAATTATTTTATTTTTCGTTAAATGATTACGTGATTTGAAACTAACATTTCACTCGAAAACTACATTAATCTCTCTCTCTCTCTCTCTCTCTCTCTCTCTCTCTCTCTCTCTCTCTCTCTCTCATTATTCATAAGCTTTTAGAAAGATTTTTTTGTTTTACAATAATTTAACAATAATTTTGTAAACAAATAACTTTTGTTAGAGTAAAGAGATGAGTAAAAATAATAATAATAATAACATTTTAAATACTAAAAATCCAGTCCATGAATGTATATATATCTGTAATCAGTGCACATACTTAACCATAAAAGTATTTTACAGTTATATAGCCCGAAGCGATCTGCGATTCCTAATATAGTATGCAATACCTGTGTTTATTGCGTGAAGGTATGTCCAGTGTCAATGCAATCTACCAGTGCTTGTACACACATATGATACTGTAGATAAACAGTACAGTATACAGACAAACATACATTTACACAATATGTGATATTATTAATAAGATTTTCAGTATTTATGTCATCAAATGTCGGCAATAAATGGGGTTTTAACTTAAAATTAAAAGCGAGTTAAAAAAAACTTAATATATTTGTTATAAATTGCCAGTAATTTCATGTTTTTTTTTGTATTTTAGTAACATTTGATATTTCTTTTAATCTTATTGACTCATCTCCTCATTTGTTAAACACAATTATATATATAAGAAAATAATTTATAAATAGCGATATAATTTGGATTTTTAATTAGCAATTTAAAATTAAAAAAAACTATGAGTTCGATTACCTTATTTTTTGAAATAATTGTAATAATAATAATAATAATCATAAAATAAATTAGTGTAACTCACAACATATTTTTTCTTAAAGCAAAATTTATTTTATTTTTTTTTTGAAAAAAAAGATTTTAAAATAAAAGTTTTTCTTTTGTTTTTGTTATTTTTATTTGTTGTGATTATTTAATTTTTTTTTGTTACTTTATTTAAATAATTGTTTGTTATTTTTTGTTTGTTTGTTGTTTAAGCATGGTCATGATAAATTTATCAAACAATTAATTCACATTATACCATTTTTTTTGTTTGTTTTTATTCACCATTTAATGAAAAACCCAATTATATATTTATTGCTATAATACAGTATTAACAATTAATTTTTATTTTTGTTAATTGTTTTTGAAGTTTAAATATAATATATACAATTAAATAAAATGTATATCAAATGTATAATATCTATAAAGCAAATAAAACTGTTATTTTTAAATAATTTATTTGACTCTTTATTTTGCAAACATTTGCAGATATTGTTATGAAACAAAAAATTAATTACAAACCTTTACTGACAGTCATTTTTAAGCTAATGATCGATAGGTGTGTTCAACTCATTGCTTACATATCTATTGTTTATTTACTGTATATATATATGTAATACATATCATGTATTTTAGATTTTGTTTAGAAAATAACGTGAAATCAGTTTTTTTCTCTTTCTTATGATATTCACGTATATTATTAATATCAATCACTTTTGAAAATAACTGTTTAGACCAATAATATTATATTAATTTTTATTTAAATTATTTCTACAATTAGTTTATTCTTTAAAAAAGCAAATTGTAATAATAATAATATTAAAATACAAGTAAAATTAGTAATACATTATAAATATTAAATGCACTGTATTATACTATATTATAAATTGATAATAAAAATATTGATGCAAATAGATCTGTTTAAATAATTTTTTTTAAACAATAACAAAATTAATTCAAAATTTGTTCAACTAACTTAAAATTTGCATTTATCAATAATTAGTTTTTATCAATTTAAACAAAAAAAAAATTTGCTTTTTAAAAAAATCATATGAAATGTATTTTTATTGATTTATATACAGTACTTATAATTATTATTACCATTTATTATTTAAATAATTGATTGATGAATAAGACAAATCCGATAGCATTTTATTTTTAATTTTTAGCATTTTGATTGTATAAATTATTATGTATTTTTAGGTGGTTAACCAAAAAATAATATGAAATATTATTTAATTTAATTAGATTATTATACAATATTTATATAAAAAAACTACAAAAATAAAATTATTAGTGATGAGTAAAATATAGCCTCAATCTATCATAGGTTTGCTGATCGTTGCACTCAAATATTAATAGTAATAATAGTAATAAAAACTAAAAAATTTAATATTTTTTTCCTTCAAAACTTTTTTCTCAGACAGTGGAAAACTGTTACACATTTATCCATCTATTAAATCTTTAAAAGTATTAAAAATAATAAAAAATAATAAAAACCGCATTTCCTATAAATATCATTTTTATTGCCACAATTTAAAAAATATATTATACATTAAATAATATATTTATGTAAAAGTGATGTTACAATTGCATAATGAGTTGAGCCATCAATTATTTTATATATATATATATATATTTATATATAAATTATTTACAGTTAGCTTAAAGGGCTTTAAGATAGACTTAACTTTCCGCACAAATAATCCTATAATACATAACAACATTTGGCAACAATGAGACCACTGATAGTATACACTGATTATTGCCAATTGAGTGGACCTAAAGTGGAGCACTGGTATATGTTTTTCATGTCATATAAATAGATAGGATAGGGATTGTACCTATCATTTACTTTACTCACTAAAAGAGAGATTATCTTTGATATTAGTAGTACGATATATAAGAGTTTTACTACTAATTACATGTATTATATAATCCCTTATAATAGTCCAGTAATGTATGTATACGTCAAAGTGTGTGTTGATAGTTACAGACATACATAAAAAAATAAGTGATACCTTTGTTTTTTTGGCTGCAGATTTTTTTTATGTGTAATTGAGAAAAGTAAGAAAAAAGTATGTTTACTATAAAACTAATTGTGGGCACAGGTAGATTGTTTTTAGCCCCGGGCAATGATATCTATGCAGTCGTCAAATACAATGAAAGGCAGTTATTATTTTGCCATTTACTTAGAATTTTTATTTTACATTATTTTAATAATCAATTCAATCTATTAAGTGATTTGTTGTAAGAATTTTGTTTTAGAAAAAACCATAACTTTATTGTTATTATGATTTGTATTTTTTCATTATATGCTCTCTCTCTCTCTCTCTCTCTCTCTCACTCACTCACTCACTCACTCACTCACTCACTCACTCACTCACTCACTCACTCACTCACTCTTTGACTTATTCACTCACTTTCTCATTCTCTCTCTTTTTTATTATTATTTTTTCATTCATTTCACTTAATCAGACACAAACACACAAATAAATAAATAAATTTAAAAATTATTATTATATTTGTGTTTAATTTTAACCAATAAAATTTATTTTATTTATAAATTTAGGTAAATATTGTTATTGTCACGTATTATACTGTATTTGATTGTCAATATTTAATTTAAAAATTTCAATATGTTTAAAGCAAATTAACACATTATTTTCATAAATAATAATATTGATAATAATTTATATACTATTATAATTTGTGTAACAATTTTCGATATATTTTATATGTGAAATATTTTGAATTATATAGCTTAAAATTATTTTAAATGTTTTATAATATAAATACAGTTTTTTTTAAATAAGCAAACTATTATTTCAAAATATTTTTTAAAGTGCTTTATTTATTTAAATTGAATTGTAAATTAAAATTTATTCAAAATAATTATTAATGATTTAAATAATCTAAAAATATAACATATAAATATTCAAAATGTAACAATAATGTGTTTTACTATTATATATAAAAAGTTAATTACGTGATTGTAATAATAATTTATTGTAAGTGTGCTGATAGTTATATTTATGATATAAAAACAAATTGTTAACAATATTTAAATAATATATGTTAAGTAAAATATTTGTTTAAATATTATATCAATAATTTTAATATTATAATTATTTATTAGGAATATTGTATTATTTTAATAATAATCTGCAATAAAATATAAAACATTT